GATTGACCTTCGCTACCAAGGGCCGACTACAATTACAAAATTTACTTTTTTTTTCCTTCTTTTTCGAATAACTTTCTCCAAGTTTAAGTTTTTGGCCGAACCAGACTCTATCTTTTCCTTCCAAATGGCAATACGCAAAGCTAACCACTCAGCTATCGCGGCCGCTGACCGCTTGTAGAACTCGCGTATCATGAGGATCGGTTGGATCGAACAACGGGAACCCTACCACCTCAATCGAGGTGTACTACGGAATGAACCCTGAAATATAGTTGAGATGGATTGAGTTTGAGTCAGTAATCTCTAAACAGATTATATCTGACTCGGTATCACCTGGTTGGTGTGCGTAGAAAAATGTCACATTGTGCGATTCGGAGTTGATGATGAGTTGATGAACTTTGAAGTGGTGGTATGTATGGGACAGCACCGTATCACGACATCGCTTGGTAGTCCAAGCTCGGGTAGCATACATATTAAGTGATCACGGGTTCAACCTTTAGGCCGTTTTCCGAAAGTAAAGCGTCACGCGTTTCGATTTGACATATCCTCCTTATGAAAAAATGAAAATGAAAGAGAATAAGATTTTATAACGATTGCTATTCGAACTCGCCCTTGCTGATAACTAATGAATATATAATAAAAATATACGAAACAGGCTGATGGGCGAAGTTAATTCAATAATTTCTTTTTAATTTTGCTCGCTGCTGAGTGGACTCCACTTATTCTCTTATAACCGAAAAAATAATAGACGCTATTCGGTTCTTGCCTTCTCTGTTCGGCGACAGTTGGTCGCTCTCCACCTGATCAGTCCGACGGAGTAGAGGTCTTCCTCCCCCTCTACTTCCACCAGCGAACTCAGCATCGGCTATTTTCTAAACTCGTACGCTTTCATTAATATGGACGGCATGACCTGGCAGCTTAGCCGCTGTCTCTTTATTCGCTGAACTATAGCGATGTCACCGTATAACTCGTACAGCTCATCGTTTCATCTTCTACAGTATTCACAAAACTTTCCTATCAAAGACCTTCAGGGCCGACTCTTCGAAAATCGTCCAGGCTTCTGCACCACATACTTGGACGGCTATGATGAGCGACTCGTAGGTTTGGTTTTTGTTCGCCGACAGAGGATTTAGTAGCTCGTTTTGGCTATAGTTATTCTGTGTTGGATTTCAAACCTAGTTGTGTTGTTCGCGCTGGTATGCCGGTCCCTGGATAGACGAACTTTTCTACGACCTCGAAGTTATGACTGTCAACAGAAACAAGGGAGCCGAGTAAATGCACCTACTGGTTATTTAATGGAAATGATGAATTGCTAAAATTTTAATTTTTTCAGACTGTAAACAACTAGTTAAGAACGTACTGGTTTGGCTTCATCACTCAAATACCAGTTCAAAACTGTTGTCTTTTCTCCACAGGGTTAGAGTGTGAGTCGCGCATATCGTGGTTTTTCGCTCAAAGCTAGCGGAGGGGTGGCTGCAAAATTAATGAGAATTTGTGTGCGATCGTTCATGTGTTTGTTTGCTGCTGCTGTTGTTGTTGTTGCTTTTTGCATCTTGTGCGCGGCGTTAAGCATCGCTGGCACATTTCCATACACAGTTACACACGCACGCACACAGATACATATTTTCAAGCAATCAAGATCAAATATACATACATACTGGTACATATATACTCGTGCATATCTAAAATATAATATTGTATGTACGAGTATATGAAACGAACAAACATATTCACAATTAGACAAACATAAATACAAGTAGTAGACAGCAAATGTGTGGGTATGAAAGATGTGGTGTTTCGTATGATTTCGGTGGGCTGCATTGCAACGTGTGACAACGTCACGCTTTAGTTCATAAACGTACGCGGACATAAACGCTTGACCGGCTGGTTTATGCAAGAATTGAGAAATGAGCGAGCGAGCAGTGAGTAGTGAGTAGTGAATAAGTGCCGAAGTGAGTGTCCGACGAGTGATTCAATTACTCAAAGTAAAAAGCCACCAATAAAGTGTAACATTTGCCTATCTACGGTGTATGGCGAGTCTGCAAACGCCTTGTAGTAGCCTGTAGTCGGTAGTAGTCAAACCCGGTATCGGTATATCGTTCGGCCGCTGATTAAATTCTACCAGTGTTTACATACCGTGACGATACTAAAATAAACTTGTTTTGCCGTAAATCCGCGCTTAAAAGCAAATCACAAAAAAAGTGCAAACAATAAAGAGATTTTTGCGGAGAATGTAAAACTTGTAATGAAAATAAAATAAACCAAAATCTTTGAACCTTGGCTGTTTTTCGCTTTGGTTTTATGCTCGTTCGTTGGCTTCTTTCTGTGGTGCACGTACATATGTACGTACACATATCAACAATAAATCATTCAAAAAATATTTCCTACGATAAACGAGCGCAAAATTCTCCCTTGTTTATTACAAATATCCTCACTCGACACTCTCCCGGTATTCCCGTGCCATACTACGTACGTATATATGTGTATGTATGTTCTTATGTTTGACTATTAAGCGTTTGTGGGACGGTTTTTGTGCGTATTCTCTTGTTTATTAGTGTATGTGTGTGGGTAACTCATTTCTGGTGTCGCCGGTTTATACGCCAACATTCCACAATATTTTTTTTACGAAGCTTATCGTGCAGCTGGGTTCTGGTGATATTTATTTATTTTGGTGTTTTGTGTTTGCTCGGTGCTTTTGCTTCAAACTAGTCAGCAAGTTGGAAGTGACCGGCTCTAGTATAAACAAACATATCAATCAGCTGTAGCTAATTTGAGTATACAAGAATTTTTTTGATGTAATAGAAAATTGAGTAAAAGAATTTCGAAAAAAATCTACGGTAATTTAATGAAATTAATATAAATGTCGGTTGAAACAAATGAATTTCAAATAAATTAATATATAATTAATGTGAGTTGACGCTCTTATGAGGTGTGAATTAAAATTTGGCGCAAAGAATTCGAAATTGAATAACAATAAAGGCATAACTTCAAAATTTTCGTAAAAGTAGTAAAACTCTAATGATAAAGCTACTTTTCTGTAATCCACGCGTTTAATTAATAAATGAACCTTCAACGGCCCACATCAACCACTACAAGTGAATGAATGAGTGAACATTGTTGTTGGTTACTATCATTAGTCGCTAAAACTAGTTTCTTGGAGTTCATGGTCAGTTGCTGAGCTACAAAGTGGACTTTTATTTTTATTTTTGTGGTTTTGATTCGCTTCTGCTTCATTTTGTTAAATCTTAATTTATTTTTTATTCCTTTATTTTGTTTGCTTCTATTTAATTTTAAATTATGTTTCATTATTTTTTTTTAATAAATTAAGATGTTATATTTTAATTTAAATATTTTGTTTATTTTATTTTTATATGTTTTATTCTGATTTGGTTTAGTATATTTTTTTTTAGTTTTAAGTATTTTAGTGCGTAATCTATCTTTCATTGGGTTTTATTTAAATTTTTTCTATTTTGTTTTATATTAATTAATTTTATTAATATTCAATACACCTTTTATTTTTACGATGCTTTCTTTTAATTTAATTTATTTTTAGTTTTATTTTAAACAGATTTTTTGTTTCTAGTTATTTTATTTTAATTTGTTTATTTTATTTGTTAATCTTAATTTATTTTTTTTGTGCTGTATATTTTAATTTTTTATATATTTTGATATTTAATGTATTTTTATTTTTGAAATATTTTTATTTCTAGTTATTTTATTTTTTTTTTTTGTTTTATTTTATTCTGTTTTAATTTATTTTTTCATTTTGTTTTGTTCTGTTTTATTTTATTATTACAATTTTTTTGCTTTCAATAATTTTATTTTAATTTAGTTTAGTTTTTTTTCTTAGTTTTAAATATTTTAATTTTTGGGCGTAATCCATTTTGTATATTTATTATTTTACATTTGTTTTCTATCATTTGTTTTATCTTAATTAATTTTAAAATATCTCAGTATTTTTTTAGTATTTTTTATTTTGTTTTTATATAAATCTTAATTATTTTATCTTAATTTAGTGTATTGTTTTATATTGTTTTATTTAAAACACTGTTTTATATTCATTTTATTTTAATTATTTACCTTAATTTATTTTATATGTATATTTTTATTCTTGTTCTTATATATTTTTATTTATGGTTAATTTAATTTGCTTCATTTTATTCTCTTTAGCTTGTTTTCTTTTATTTTCATTTTATTATATTCAATAATAATAATTAATATTTTTTTTTAGCTTTAATTAGTTTTAATATTTACAAATTCTTATTTTTAATTACACTGTGTTATTTTAGTTAATTTTATTTTTCTTCTTTTATTTTTTTTCATTATTTCATATGTTAATTTTTTATTTCGATTTATTCATTTCATTTTATTAAATTTTTTGCTTAATATTTATTTGTTTTATTTCGTTTAAAAATTTTTTTTTAGTCCCTTCTTTTTAAGTTTGGATATTTTACTTTAGTTTATTTTATTTTCTTTCATTTTGGTATTTTACTTTTCTTTTACATATAATTTTTAATTTTTTGTAAGTTTTTTTTATATATTGTTTTATTTTATTACTTTGGTATTTTATTTATTTTATTACATTTACTTTACTTACCTGTTTATTTTTATTTATTTTTTATTTATTTATGTCATGGATTTTTGGGTTCCTTTTTTTCTTGGCTTTTATTTAGTTATTTTTTTCTGCTGCATATAGATTTATTATTTTTTATTTTATTCTATTTTATTCAAGTTTAATTTAATTATTTTTATTTCGTTTCATTTAATTTAATTTGTTTTTTCCACGATATTTATATTGTTTTACTTGAATATATTTATACATTAAATTATTAAAATTTATTTATCAAATTAAGTTTGATAAATTTTGCTTTGTTTTATATATCAAGTGATCAATTTTATTTTAGTTAAATTTCTTTTATATTATTTTATTTCATAAATTTAGTTTTTCTTTATATATATATTTATGTATTTTTTTATTTTATGCCATTTAAGTGTTTTTTTACGTATTTATGTATTGCCTATTTCTCACATTGCTTTATTTATTCGTGCACTTTTGATGACCGCGTATGTCTGTAGATGCTTAGAAGCAGTTAAATGTCTACTGGTTAATGGTTATGTCAATGACGCATGAGCATCGTAAAAGACGAAAAGCTGTTCAGACTTCACGCCTTACATCTTATCCTGATATTTTCGACGCTCCTTGTTATTTTGTCTGCTCAGTCACCTCTATCTTCTCCTGCTTCTTTTGCCAATGCATGTATATCTTGTACCACCCGCACAGACACCCAAGTTGCGCCTATCTGCTCGAACTGCAGGGATTGTTGTTGCTGTTGAGTTTTGTTTTACGGCTCTTCTTCTTTTTTCTAAATTTTCTTCCACTTGACATTTCATTCACTGACTACCATTTTTATGCATTCGCCCAAAATATTAAATTATTTGTCCCGGGTTAGGAATATGTGTCGCACGTGCTGCAGCATGCTGTCTATTACGTTTGGCTCGTGCTCCAAAAATATTCGCGCTCTCGGCTATTTGCTTCAAAAAATTCATTCGATTTTGTTTCTCTCAGTGCTTTTGAATCTGTCTCTCTTTCTCTCTCTCTCGTTCTTGCACTCTCTTTTGCAGTGGTAGCCTATTTAAGTTTGTTGAGCTCTCGTTGTGTGCGCTCTCATTTTTCCGCTCCGTATCTCTTATTTACGAATGCAATTTTGCTGCTGCGCCTATTTTTGTTACTCATACGTCATACGTTTAATAGCAATTTATGCTCCGTATGCGGGTTTTGTAGCACATTTACACCCTGTGTCGCCAGCGCGCTGCTTCTCTGAGCTAGCGGTCGTGCGACATTTCGAGTCAGGGCGTCTGAGCAACCCCCAAAAAGTCAGTACCACTTCCGCTCTGCGTAACTTCCCTTACACTTGTTCGTTACACTACTACGTTTTGTTTACTCAGTGTGTCCTCGACAGGGGTTTGGGTTGGATTGCCTGCGCTGTTCGTTTGACTTTGTGCGTTTATCTTCGCTGCCGCTGGAGCTTTGGCTTCGTTGGCGTCGTTCGAAAACGGCTGCAACGACATTTGCACATCTCGTTGACCTCATTTCGTGTCGTAGTTTCAACGCGTCCAGTCACTTCGCAGTAGCTTTGCGTTTACAACTTATATAGAATCCTGTGCCAATTTCTACTACACCAAGCGGTTAGCTATCCGTCTACCGCTTTGCATTGCAATTTCGACGCTCAACGTGTGCACACGTGCCAACAACTAGGCGCCAATAATCACCTTAATCAACGTCAAAGTTGTGTTTTATCCGCACCAGGCAGTCAACACATTTTTGTCGCGGTTCCGTTCACGAAATTAAGTAGCTGCGGATTGCGTTCTGTTTAACGGTGGTGTATATTTTTCTAGTCAGTGACTGCTAAAATTGAGTGTGAATGGTAAAATAATTTATCCTGTAATCTAAATTTGAAATCGAATATGAATAAAGTGCTTCGATGGAAAGTGATGTACAATTTTTGAAGTGCCAATTAACCAACATGAATATGCACATACAAAATATTTCTAATGAAATGGTTGGCGATAGAGTCTAATTTTAGTCCTTTATGCAACGAGTGTATTGTGACTTACATACATATCCAAATAGAAAAGCCTGCCGTAAAACTCTTCTTCCAGAGCATCGAATTTGTGCTACAAATACGTTAACAATATTATTTGTGTATCGGTGTTGTAATAACGGTGTTCTCTACATGAGGACTATAATTAAAAATTTACTCAAGCAAACATACACTTGATATTAATTAAAATAATGAATTGAAGCAAATCAGGAGCGTAGATGAAAAATAAATATAATAAATAAATGGAAAAATAAAAGCAAAATAAATTAAAAATAGATAAATGAAAAAAAATAAATAAAATAAAATAAATAAATAAAAAAAAAATTAAAATAAAAAAAAATAAAAATGGCTAAAAATAAATTAATTTAAATTAAATAACAAATAAAATTGAACAAAAAATAAAATTAAAAAACTGTAGTAACAAAATAACTTAAAATTTATGTAATTTAATTAAAGTGGAAAAAAATTTAAAATAAATTGCAAAACAAAACAAAATATCATAATAAATTCAATATATATTCAAATAAATGAAATTAAATAAATTAAAAAAATATATAAATATTAATTTATAAGAAAATATAAAGCAAAATAAACAATTCAATTAAAAAAAAAATTAAGAAAATCAAACATAAAAATGTATAGCATTAAAAAAAAACAAAATAATTTAACAAAATTAAATAAATAGTGAAAGAAAAAATGACTTAAATTAATCTAAATGCAAAAAAAAAATAAAATATAAAAAAGGAGAAAATATAAAAGTAGCAAAAACGTATAAAACTAAACAAAATTGAAATAAAATAAAAAACAAAATTGAAATAAAATAAAAAACATATAATAAAGAAAGAAATGAAACATATTCAGTTAAAGAAATATATGCATAAATTTTAAATTATACAAAATTAAATTAAAATGAAGGATACTAAAATAAAATATGAAACTATTCAAAAGGAATTAAATAAAACGAATAATAAGATAAAACAAACTAATTTAAAGAAAAATTAATAAATAAAAAAAGAACTAATAACAAACAAAATATATAAAATCAAATAAACTGAAATAAATTCAAATTAATTTAAATTCAACTAAAAAAAAAGCGAAAAGATTTAAAAGTAAACAAATTTAAAATTATATTTAAAATTAAATAAAATGGAATCAGAAAATTTATAATGAGAAAAATAAAACAAAATAAAAGAGAATTAATTTATAAAATAACATAAAATAAAATTAATTTAAATAAAACTAACAAAATTTAAATTTAATTAAATTAATGGCAAAATAAAAACAACCTTTAAATTATAGTAAATTAAATAAACTTAAAAAACTGAGCTTAAAAAATATTATTAAAGAAAGGTAAATATAAAAATTTAGAATAAAAAAAAAATAGGATGAAAAGATTTAATTAATAAAATTCGACTGTAGTAAAAATAAAATGAAATGATATTAAACTAAATAAAGAAAAACCAAATTTATATCAAATTAAATGAAATTAAAAAATTATTTACAAAGAAAAGTAAATATAACAAGTATGAACAAATTATTTACGAAAAATTCGAATAAAAATGTAAAATAATAAGATGAAAAAATTAAATTAAAAAAGGAAATAAAATTAAAAATTAAATAAAATTGTCTTAAATTAAATAAAGAAAACAAAACTAAACTTAAAATAAATGAAATACAAATATTATATGAGTAAATAGTAATTTAATGAAAAATATAATTAAAACTATTAATAAAAAGGGTGGATTAAAAAAACTATATCAAAATTTAATAAAATAATTTGTTGGGAAAATTAAATAAAAAAAACTCAACTGAATGAAAAATAAAATAAAAAAAAATTGCACTAAATCAATTAATAATAATAAATAAATATAATTAAATGAAATCAAAATATTGATTAAGGAAATTTTATTCAATGTAAAATAAATAAAAAATAATTTTTAAAATTCGTAATTATAAAAAATGGCAATAAAAAAATAATAAAATGAAAAAATTAAATTAAAAAATTCAACTGAATTAAAAATAAAACAAAATAAAATTGTTTTATATAAAGTAAAAAATAAAAATTTTAATTAAATTAAATGAAATAAAAATAGCATATTTAAAAAAAAAAAAACTAAATGAAATAAAAGATGTAATTAATATTAATAAAGAAATAAAAATATAATAGATATGTATAAATAAAAAAGCGGATTAAAGGAATTAGAATGAAAAAAATAAGATAAAAAATTCAACTGAATGAAAACTTAAATAAACTAAAATTGCATTAAATTGAGTAAAAAATAATAAAATATAAATTTAATTATTCAAAATTAATAAAAAATATTAAATACAAAAAATTTATTTAATAAAATAGTACTTGAAAATTATAAATGAAAACTAATTAAAAAAAAAATTATCATAAATAATTTAATGAGATAATAATTAAAAATTATATTAAAAAAAATAATACAAAATTATAAGAAAAAAATGTAATCAAAAAACTACAATAAAAATATAGAAAAAGTTTATATAAAAAAATATTAAAAAATGATAATAAAAAATTATAATAAAAAATAAAATAAAAACAATAGAAAAAGAAGAATTAAAATAAATTCAAATTCAAAATAAAAATTTTTTCCAATTGTTTTCAGTTAAAGGTGTATTTCAATTACTACTTCGCTTTTGTTGAGGGAATACACAAAACAATTAAATTAATTAAAATTTAAAAATGTGTGTACCAATTTTTATTTCTGTCACTAATTCTAAATTAAAAACTAAATTCTTTATACTAGAGTTTTTTGATAAATTAGTTAATATTTATAATTGTTTAAGAATTAAATTGAATCTGACTTTTTGCACTACAAAACACTTATTTCTGTAAAATTCAATTTCTTAAATTTATTTATATTTTTTCTCAATTGAAATCTAAATAACTCAAAAACTTTTAAATTTTTAGTTAATAAAATTAACCATTATTTTTTTAATTTTGTATTAAGCAAATGATTTCAATCACTCCTATATATTTTTAATTTATTTTTAAATTGAATAAGCGTACATTTCAATTTTTTTTTTATTTTTAATTTTTTTTTTAATTTCCATATTTTTTTTAAGTTTTTTTTTAGCTATTAGCATTTCATAATACATGTAATTTGATAAGTTTTATATTTGTGTATGTATATTTTCAAATTATAGTGGAATAATTAATTAATTATTTGAGATTAAACCATTAAATCATGGAATTGACTTTTAACTAATTATTTCAATGTTTTTCATACAAAATGATTGAATTGACTTCAAATAAATGAAATAACAGCAAAATGTCAATATTTCAGTATTGGAAATGAACTTTGTGATCTTAAATTTTCCTTGAACTGCAAATTAAAAAATCAAGAAAATCCTAAATGACAAAAAAAATCAGCAATAAAGTTAATTGTTTACTCGTTACTTTTTTATTTACTTAACTTTGTTTTATGATTTTTATTTTTGTTTTCCTCGCTTTGTGCTTTTTCACTCCTGTCACACGCTTCCTTGAATTCGCCTGGTCAGTGGCCTGTTACACAGTCAAGGCAAGCCACACATACACATAAATAAACATACATATCAATACCAACACAATCGTACATGACTTTTACGTCATCACAGCGATGATACGCTTGCGGCTGCTGTCGTTCCTGCCAAAGTTCAATGTAAATACACAGAGACAGAGCTTGTCAACAAAATGGGAATAACTGAGAAACAATAACAAAGTGCAATCAAAATACAATACGAGTACATAGTACCTATGTATATGCATATAAAAAAAAACTAAAATTAACAAAAACGTGCGACAAATCGTATACAATTTCGTGTGTTTATTTCCCTTAGCAAACAATCAAAAGTACAAAAAATAAAAAAAATAGAAAAACATCAACTTTTTGCCATAGAAAATGTCTAGTAAAAACAAGCGCGCTGATAATGGCTGTCGAAAAAGCCTTAACGGCAATAATTTATCGTTCAAAACAAAAGTGAACAATAATTTTAAAGGCTACCAGGAAAATTGTTTCCTCTCGGTTGTGCAGGTCATACACTAAAACACACACATACATGCATACAACTGTGCCGTTATATACGCAAACTAAGTACAAGTGCTATTGTTGTACTCCTTCTTCAAACCACAAGTGTTGTTTGTGTGATGCTTGGTGTGCTTTTGTATTGCAATAGCAAACCAACAAAAACAATTGTAAAGTGGTATAGATAGTTTTTGACCTCGTTATTTGCGTTACGCGTTGTCTGTATGTAGGTAGGTAGCCCCGTCAGCTGCACCAGCGACTGTTCTAGCGGCATCGTCGTCCTTATTGTAACTAACATAGAAGAGTGTATTTGTAGTCGCTGTGCAGACAGGCGTCGAGAGCTGCACACATCCAGGCTCTTGTGCGTGAAGTCCTGCAGCAACTAGAAGGGAAGAAATAAAAAAAAAGAAAACTAAACTATAAAACGCTTTTATAGCTCAAATATTATATGAGAACAAGTCCTCGAAGACGACGAAGTGGCAGTGATTGTGTGTGAAACATGTACATATATATGTATGGAACTGTAAGAACACGCGTAGGGGTGAAGCATCATAAGATTATGGCATACAAATAATAACTAAAAAATAGTAGTGTTTGTGAACAAGGAGTACAAAAAAGGAGCAAAAAGTTTGGGTAGTCTTTGAAAAGCTAAGCTTGTAATCTCTAGTCCATAAATTGGCAGTTCATAAAGAGAATTATACCAGGTTGCAATGAACTAGTTAAATACCAGCTGATTTGAGTGAAGTGCAATGCTTCTAAACGTCCAACGAAATAATTTGCTAAATTCAAAAAAAAAATATATATTCGTTCTTTTTGAATATTTTTTAACATTTTATTTTTTAAATTTAAATGAAATACATATTGTTCATTATTAGTTATGACCTTTTGCCGCTTTCTGAATTATTTTAAAATTTAAAAGAGAATTTTTCCGACTTTTCGGTGAAATTGTGATTTGCAGCGACTCTTCAGTTGGTCAATTTTTTGCCTTCAAAAACGGCTTTGCAGATAAATTTATTTTCGAATTTCATATACATATAGTCTTTTCCAATGAGAGGTGCCTTTTTCATGTTCCAAGAAGAGGTAAATATGCCTTTCATAATGATAATAGGCCTAATGGCCGCTACTGCTACGCTTACAGGGTCGTATACCTTTTATGAAATTTTCCACCAGCAAATCGGAAAATGGCTACTGAAAGCATTCGATAGCTTCACGAACTTCACCTCTGAGGTCCTGAATCGACGTTGGCTTCTTAGCGTGGACCTTATTTTTCACGTGGCTCCAAAGGAAGAAGTCGCAAGGTGTTAAAATCGCATCGATTTTGATGACCCATTGCGAATCATCTCTTCGAATGATAACAAGGTCAGGAAACTTTTCCTTTAAATAGTCGATGGTTTCATTTTTGGGTGGCACTTAGCGCCCTCTTGTTGAAATTAAATGTTGCTCAGGTGAATGGCATTAAACTGTAGTCATAAAAAAAATCATCATCATCTCTCGATAGCGTTAACCATTCATAATAACAGTTGCTCCAGCCTTCTCTTCGAAAAATTAAGGTCCAATGGCGCCACCGGAGGGAAAACCGCTCCAAACAGCTAAACGTTGAAGGTGTAGAGGCTTTCAACTATAAATCTTGCGATTTCCGAGCCCCAGATGTGACAGTTTTGCCTATTGACGCGTGGACGTGTGGAAATAGTCCTCATCAGCCAAGATAGTTTTTTTTCTGTCAATTTCCGCCTCATTTTCATGCATTTCAATGAGCCAATTACAAAAGACACGACTTTGTTGATAATTAGCCAGCTTGAGTTCTTGTGTTAACTGAGCTTTATATGCCTTAAGACCCAAGTCTTTATGCAAAATACGGTGTAATGACGTTTGTGGAATGCACAATTCCAAAGACCGATGAGGAATGGATGAAATTGGTTTTTTTTCAGGCTTTCCCGTACTTTGGGCTATAGCAGCAGCAATATTCTCAGTTGTTCTTGAGCGACGTGCCAGTGGTTTTTTATTCTTCACATCACTAACTGATCCAAAAGCTCCACCTTTTCCACTAATTTCTGTTTTGCGGCCCGGCAAGTTGCTTCACGACGACGGAAAAATATTTTAGTTTTTCCAACTGTCTCTGTCAGGTTTTCACCATTTTTTTTTTTAGTGAATTTTAATAATTTCAATGCGTTGTTGTATCGTTCATTTTTATTACAAGCGTAGCATTTACTTGTCAATGGTCAAAAAATTACAGCTTCAAAAGCGCCATCTACCGGAAAAGCAGGCTATACAATATAACAGCTCTTATTGAAAAGCTATAACCTTTAATCATTTTAATCTCCATGGACTGGTAATTGTGGTGGTGTGAATGGACGGTGCTGGTTTCTTCCATGTCTGTTGAATATGGAATTGCTAACTGACAGTGTTTTTTCGTTACTGGTAGCATTTCCTGCAGGTCAGTTCTTTGTGTGCAAAAATACTTGTGCATCTTCCAATATACCATTAAGTCGACTTTGTGCTCATCTGGTCCTTCACCCGGAGTCCAAATTTTAGCCGTACAACTGTTTACAGAAGCAGTCAAGTTGCCTACCCAACTCACTCACCGACCGAATCTGACTGGACCATTGACCAAATGCCTATTCCCTACAGGCAAGCAAGCGCTTCGGTTTTTATTTTTGTTTCAACAACAGATTTATTTACTATTTATTAATTTTTTTTTATACATTCCCCGCGTAGGTGCACGTATGAGCTAGACTGTCGCTACGAAGCAACACTAAAGCAAGTAAAGCAAAACAAGTTCAAAGAAAAAATCAAAAATTAAAGTGTTGCGACAGTGAAAAGTAATATAAATAAATCGATAGAAATTTTATGTGGCTTGTATTGTTAAATATATGCATATGTGTGCTCCAATGAATTAATGAAAAATAAATTTAAAAAATAAAATTAAATAAAAATGAATCTGCGCTGTTTGTGCTAAGCAAATGTAAAGTGCAACAAAATAATTAACACCAAAAAAAGCAATAAATAAATTAAGAAAAAAGTTTGTAAAGGGTATCGAAGAAATTTGCATCGATACCTGTGCTATTTTGTACTCTCAATTTTTCGCAGTGTAATTTGATTAAATTTCAAGTTGTCGCGTACAAACTGCATCGAGTTGGCCAACCAATTGAACAACAACGTTATAGGTTGGTAGATTTGGTAGCTTAATGTTTTTTTAAAAATATTTTATACATATAAAACATAAAAAACCAAAAAAGAATATAAAAAAATTATTATAAATAAAAAAATAAAATATGTTAAAATATTATATTTACGTTGTATTAACACTTTTTCGAAAGAAACCACTACTTAAAAAATTACTAAAAAAATATATATGTAATTTTTCATTAAATTATTTCTATATATAAAATATATATTCTATATTAATTGTTTTTCTTCTTCTTTATTTTCAGGTAAGTCTCGTGAGAGTTTCCATTTAATAAATTTAATTCTACAAGTGAGTATAAAAGGTACAGTATTCAGTGTGGAGTAGGGTGTATATTTTTTTTTATATTAAACCTATATGTACATACGTACAGTGACTTACATAAGCGTTTATAAAAAGCAGATTGGCCACATATTTATCTATATTCTTTAAGTTTCGATGAACGTCCATTATTCTACATAATATGTACAGTCAACGCCAAAAGAAAGTGTACACTTTTTTCTTATATATTTCACTCTTTATTTCGGTGCAAAGAAAATCAATTTTTTTAAAACAATTATAATTGCAAATTATTAAATTTTGTTTTTACAAGAAATTAACAATAATACAAAAATGGCTTTACAAGTACAAAAACAACACATCCGACACCAAACATACTCAGTATTTGACGCGTCAAAATAAAGTGTACAGTTTGGGAATAATTAAAAAATTCATAAGCTTATAATTTGCCCGTCTTCCCTTTGCACTGATAACTGCTTCCAATCTCCTTGGCATTGATTCCACTAAGTTGAATGCCACTAGACTACTCCTCTAGTAAAACTTCTTTCAGGGTATTTTTGCTGTTTATATTTATGTGCCGGTCCAAATGAACCCACACATGCTCAATGGGGTTGTATACCGGTGATTGTGAAGAGTAATCCAGTTGCTTAGGTGTACGGTAAAGCAACCATTCCTCTACAATACTTGCCGCTTGCTTATGATCGTTGTCCTACTGGAAGATCCAGGATTGATCTAAGCCCAATTCCTCAACGCTAGGAAGCAAATTTTCTTTTAAAAAGTTTAGGTAATCAATTTTGTTTATTGTACTATCAATAAACACCATCTTTCTCACTTCACTAACCGCCATGCACCCTCAAACCATCACCGACCACCCGCCATGTTTTACAGTGGATGTAATGTTTTTCTGTTAAACCTCTTGATTTTTGTTTCGCCAAACTTTAGTATTTTTTTTTTTCCCGAAAACTTCGAACTTGCTTTCGTCAGAAAAGATTACTTTGTTCCAAAAAGACTTTTCCTCAGTTATATATGCGTAGAGATGTGAGGTTTCTTTTGACGCTGACTGTACATTAATTTTGTTTTTTGATAAGACTTCGGTGAAAAGTTGTGACAGATTAAGCGAAGTGGTGGACGTCCAAACAAGTTGAGCTCATGCACAGGGAGAATGCTTAAGATATTAGTTGTGTCAGGAGCTGTAGACAATGCCGTGCAAGCCCATATAGCGGTGTTTGAGGAACTTAATTTTAATGTAGCGACCAAGATAGGTCACAGATGTTTGAAAGAAGCCAAAAGTAAGATACGAAAGTCTCTTATTACAGCTAAGCATCGCGCTCAAATCATATGAATTGGGCCCCAGCTCAGTGGAATTTAGTACTTTCATTCGATGGGACGAAAATCAATCGTTTACCCAAAAGTTGGCATCACAAATCGAAGCATTTAAGAGATCTTGAAGTTTAGTGGAAGATCCTTAATGATCTGGTGCAGCTTGGCTATCCGTTGATTGATTGGTTTGTAACCAGAGATCGCAGCAGCCATTCTGCGGCTTCCGTGATTGTAATAAGTTCTGCTTTGCAGATGAGGGGGTCAAAATTTATATAGTCATTTAGTTAAATATTCTCAATATAGATATTTTATACATAATAACACTTGTGAGATCATCTGCAAATGAAGACTTAAGAGGTTAATAGAAGTTCAATGCAGAATTAATAAAGTCCAAAGGAAAATTGTTGCTGGAAGGACTTTTAAAGCCGGTAGTTAATTGGTTGAAGAGTATTGCGGACATCACAGAATCAATGGTTTTAAGTCATACTTGGTCTGACTTGAGAAAAACAATATATATATAAAACAATATATATATATATATATATATATATACTTTTTTACACTTTTACAGAAATTTATATATATATATATATATATAGATATATAGATATATATACGAGTACATATATACAAATTCTGTGAAAAGAAGTGATGACCGGCGAGAACCATTTCACACTGTGTGGCGGTGTAAATAAGCAAAATTTGCAGAAAATCCATCAAGACCCATGAAATACTACTAAACCATTATTTGTTAACAAATTATCCACTATCTGTTAACCATTTAACATTATCTGTTAACGACTTACCATTATCTGTTAACCATTTAACACAATATGTTAACGATTTAACATTATCTGTTAACGACTTACCATTATACCATTATCTGTTAACCATTTAACACAATATGTTAACGATTTAACATTGTCTGTTAACGACTTACCATTATCTGTTAATGACATACCATTATCTGTTAACCATTTAACACAATATGCTAACAATTTAACATTATCTGTTAGCAATTTAACCTTATCTGCTTACTTAGCATTGTCTGTTAACGAATTAACTTGCATCAGTTAACGCCTTACCATTGTCTGTTAATAATTTAACATTAACTGTTAACGATTTTACATTTGCTGTCAACGATTTAACATCATGTGTTAAGAATTTCATATTATCTGTTAACAATTTAACATTATCTGCTAACGATTTAACATTTAATGTTAACGATTTAACATTTTCTGTTAATGATTTAACATTTTCCGTTAAAGATTTAACATGTTCTGTTAAAAATTTAACATTTTCTGTTAACAATTTGAATTACCTGTTAACGATTTAAATATTATATGTTAATCAATCAACCACTATCTGTTAAAGATTTAATATTATCTGTTAACGATTTTACTTTATCAATTAAGGAGCTAGCATTTTCTGTTAGCAGTTTAATAACTAAAAACTAAATAAAATTAATTTTGATAATTGTTTTAATGATGACTGACTACAGCTAAGATGCAGCCTTACTAGTTTCTTATGATCCTTTGGGCAAAGTGTAAGTGGAACTAAGCCAGAGAAATAAAATTTGTTTCAATAATTAATAGTTAATGTTTACCTTTCACTTCTAATTCTTGAGTATTTGCTATTCATAATGTCATGATGATGAAATATTGCATGTTTGCTACTCAAATCGCTGACCCAAAAATCAGGTCCTCTATGAATCTGGTGCTAATTCATTAAATCAATTAAACGTACCGTAAATTAATTTACATATTTATGCAGCTATCAAAAATGTATGCAATTAGTTTAAGTGGGAATTAGTTTCTTATAAAACTTTTGCACTCCAAACCCTGTTCGCACTCACTTCAAACATTTCCTTTGAGCACTTTTACAGAAATTTATCTCATTAACCTTGAAGGCTGCACCCTAAGTAATTTTCCAACATTTTCATTTAGAATGATTTCCACAAATTGGACCTCAAAGTGTGCGTTCTTATAGCCAAACATGCCTGCATACATTCATACATACGTATGTGTGTGTATGTAATTCACAAGTTTGATTTGCTAATTTGCAAAACACACGTTAAATTAGTGTTGCAAGGCAAACACAGCAAGAAGCCGCTCACTCACACCGTTGAATTCACAATTCCGACGCTTTATTCAGTTACCAACAATTTGTTTAATTTTCTTTTTGTTATTGTTTTTTTCTTCCTCTTTCTTTTATATTATTCATCGGTAGTGGAAATGTTGAAATGCAACCGTGTCATGTTCTCCTCGCTTAAGTACACACACACACACACACACAGGCACACACTCAAAAGCCAAGCCAAGTGTGTGACCCCGTACACCTGACCTGAGTCGACATAACTTAGCTTGGTGTGGTGTCGCATGACTGCCTGCCTGAATGACTGACTTGCTGAGTAGTTGCATGAATTCCCCCTCTCCCGCGGTGCTGCTCTAAGTAGGAGACTACTTGCACATCAACATATATATATATATATATGTGTGTGTGTGTGTGCATGCAACTCATCTTTTATGTAAGATTCTCGCGCACTTGTAGCGCACATTCGTTTTGACTATTCCATTCCGTTATATTCTATTTCTGTTTCGTAACTGCTCTGCGAGTATTGTGTTATTTTTAAATATTCTTTCACTGTCAACTAACATTACGCGTTCGTGTAGTCTATGGACGTAGTTTGTAGTGCGAGATGAGTGTTGCCTTTGTGGATGGGTGTTTAACTGCATATGAGCTTTTGCTTACACATACAGACATATATATATATGTACGTGTGTACTTATACTTGTTTATATGTATTTAAGTAAACTTTTGTTCGTTAATGTTAATGTCATTTATGCGCGGGTAAATGCGTATACCGTACGTTAGGTGCTTAGCGCACTCAATAGAGGTTTTTTCCTCATTGACCATGAGACCCAGCGCACTTGTCCACAGTTAGACACGCATTTACCTACATACGCATGTGTGTGTGTGCATATGTGTGGACTTACTTGTAGTATGTTAGTTCTCCTTCTTCTCCTTCTAACACTTTTTAATTGCATTTTTTCCATTTGACATTTTCTGTTAGTTTTAATTTTATTACCGACGCTGTCAAGGTGAATAATTTGTACGCACCGAGCATAAGAATGAAGGAACGGAAATATTTTCTTTTTTTGCAACAGAAACTTAAGTACGAGGGGCTGAACAAAAGTTCTGCAAGTTGACCAGAAAAAAATTCTTTTTGTATTTATTTGTAATCTTCGTCAATCTGCTCCACATAATCGCCATTGATTTCAATGCATTTCTTAAGCCTATAGATCCACTTCTGAAAACCGTCTTCAAAATTTTGCTTCTTAAGCTTCAGCATTTACAACATTAATTATCTCCTCGTTGCTTCAAAGACCTTTCCTTTTAAATACCTTTTCATTTTTGGAAGAAACCAGAAATCACCAGGTGCTATATCCGGGGAATATGGTGCTGGACGTACTTCTTCGATCCAAGAGATCACAATAAAATTACTCAATATTTCAGCAGTGCGGGATGGCGCTTTGTTATGAATCTGCCTTCTACCTGTTTTCCAACAAATTTTCGAACACTTTTGGTAAGCACTCCGTCTGACCCTTTTCCAGTTGAATAGCTGCTACTGACATCAGTACTTTTGCTGCTGATTTTTGTTGCTTAGATTTTACGGGTGGGGTTTGCTACCGTTGGGATCCATATCATAGACTGCTGTTTGGTTCATTTGTCGTACTCATAGAACCAGGATTTGTCACCAGTAACGACTCTACTTAAGTTGCTTTATCGACCATTTTCGAATTTGTTTAGAAAAAATTGAGAAAAATGCACCCGAGCCTCTCTTTGGGACCTGATTCAAAATTCGTCGTACCCATCGAGCAGATTTCTTC